AGTTGAAAACCTCCCGGGCCCCCCCCCCCCCGCCCCTCATCAGATGTTAGACTTTACAGCCGTTACAGCTCACGACACTGCTCAATTTATTCTATTCTATTCCAAAAATCACAATAAAACACATTATAATTTCCGATTGGACCGGGGTGGAAATAGGAAACAGTTCCATGGGTGTAGATGCTCTGTGCTTAAATATTGCTTTGTATTAGAGAAGCTGATGTGGAATCATGGTTACTCACCCCAAAACCTTCACAACCTTGTATTTGCACAGCTCTTCTGCCAGAACCTCAATACTCCTGTCCGTTAGGTTATTGACACACAATCTGAAGACGGGAAAGAAATACACAGAGCTTTAAATGACAAAGACTGAATATCAGTCAATACATTCAGAATCTAAAACATCAGTAAATTTACATTCGCATTGTTTTAACCACTATAGTAGATAGCTAAGCTACATCACCAGAATGCTGCACTTTCTTTTTGTCACAATTCCTTTTTCTTTTGGTTATAGATTCTCATTTTCTCCTACAGCATTAATTTCTTGGAATGTTTAGGTAATTGTATTGCTGCATTTGGTTTTCAAATAAATAATCAAAAATTATTGCAACTTTTTTGGGCAAAGTTGACAGTAAAACACAGGGTATTTCCACAGTGGCGCTAAGCAGAGAGCATCAGTGATCTCTTTATAAATGTGGTGTTTTTTGTGGTTGCTCTGGCATACGTTGTGCAAAGTTTCAGAGGAAACAGAACCTACCAGAATATTCTAATGTGTGAGTATAATCAAAACAACCGAACAGTTTAGACCCAACAGTCAAAATAATGACAGCAGACAAAGGTGGCTACTCTACCAGTATGAGTTAGAGATGAAGAGCACATTTCAGTTTTTTGAGCCCAGTTTAAAAAAAGAATAAAAATCACAATCTATTTTTGAGCCAACTTGCAGCTGTATTGTAAACTACACAGAATAATTTTGTTGAGCTAATGAAACTGTGTTTTCCCTTCTTTACCTGATTTTATAGTAACACTCACAAAAAAGTGTGATTGTTCTGCTTTCTGCTCTCGGCCACCGTTCTAACCTGCCTCTCTGTGAAACATATAAGCAGCTGAATCAGTAGTCATTTAAAATTATGATCTTCATAGATCCTAACAGTGACGTGCCACATTTATAGAGCTGGGAAACTGCTTTTTCTGTAAGTTTTTATCAACACACAATTATCTGGAACTGCACTAAAATATGTTAGAAGATGAATTATTAAGGAGTAATTTCAAAACAGAAAAAAATGCAAAATAGGCTTGTCACGAAGATGGACATTAATATTATCATTTTGAGACCATTTTCAAGTAATATATTGATAATGGCATAATAATGCAAGTTTGCACTTCCAAACACTATTGAACTTTAATTTAGAACAGAACACGCCACACTACAACTGGAAGAGATTTTAAATAGCCACAATAAAACATTTTAATTTATCATGCAATTTAACTGATTAACTGCTTATTGTGACAGGTTTAAGCTACTGATAGCCTGGGCCATCATCACCAGGAGCAAAAGTTTGTTTAAGATTGAACTTATATGAGAAACTAAAACCCGTTTAACTCTGTGTTGGAACAAAGAAAGAGTTAATACAAGGAGCTACATGGGCAATAAACTCTAAGAAGCTGCCCAGAAACATGACACAGACTGCAGCTTCATGAATGTTACTGCTACATGAGTTAAATGCAATATAGCACTTTGAACTCAGAAGCTATACTTTCATGAAAAGTCAACCAGCTGTGGAGAGGGCCTGAGAGGTTGAGTCCTGCAAATTATGTTTAGCAGTCAATGGGTAACGGGTGAGGTACACATGCTGGACAGGTTGTCAGCCCATTACAGGACAAACAGAAGGCTGTAGTGAAAAAGACATGTATCTTACCTCACAACTGTCATCTTGCAAAACGAAGGCTGGAGTTGCTTCACCCCATAGTCACTGATGTTGTTGTTGTCCATGTCGAGCCCCAAGTGCTTCTGACGGTGCTGCAGCACAAAGTTTATGGCCGTGCAGTCACCTGAGTACACGTTACAGTAGCCCAGCTTGATAAAACTTGCTGTGATGCCTTTTGCTGTCATCTTAGCAATGTCTTTGCTCCCTGTCTCGAAGATGCATCGTAGAATCCAAAGAAAGTGGGGCAAAACGTGAACTTTCTTCAATCCATCAGCAGTATGACAGGGTAAGCCCTCCAGGTGGACCTTGATGCTACTGGACAAGTAAGCCTTCAACAAGGCTCGTTTTTTCTTCAATAAACCAGGAGATACTAGTTGTCCCATCAGACTTGCTTGAGACTTTGACAGCAGTCCACTCAGGAACAGATTTGTGAACTGCAGGTGCTCGTTTGTTGAGGAGGGCCTCTTCTCGCAAGGCTTCACAAAGCTCCTGGTACAGAAAGCTAAAGGGAGACAGCAGGGTTCTCTCCTCCTGCTGCATTCTGTGAAGAACTTGAGGATGGAGTTGCCAGAAGTCTGCTCGTCCAACACAAGAGCAAATGCTGCCAAGAACGACTGGAGGGTGATGTGGATGAACTCAAAGGTAGCAGGGGCATCAGTGGCGTCAAACTCACTAATGGGTCTGAGGAAACCTAGGGCCATGTCCTCCTCTGTGAGACCACACTCACTGATCTCCTCTTGGCTGCACAGAAAACTTCCTCTCTCCAAACCCTGCAAAGCCAGCTTAGCAAACCCAGCAAGGGGCCTGAGCCCCACCCTGAATGTCTCGGAGGTGCAGCGGGTGCTTTTCTTCAGCAGGGGAGAAGCGGGGGTGGCCAAGCGGCTGAGGAACACCTCAGACAGCAGAAGGAATATGTCTGTTAGCGTGATGCTGGTTTCAGGCAGATGAAAGGTATCATGTATCGTATGCAGGTGCCGGAAACTTTTGAATACAATCCAGCTGAAGAGTGGAGTGGAACACAGGCCACAAAGGTGAGGGCTGGCATCCAGCTGAACCGACACCAGGTCCCGGTGCTCCTGCTCCTTGAACTGCAGTTTGATGTACGTCTTTAGGTGGTCTGGAGAAAATCCACGCAAAACTACTTTCTTCTTAATGACTCGACTTTGCAACTCAATCCCAGTTCGGGTCGTCAGTATTTTTTTGGAGCCCTTAAGTAGTTTTCCACAGAGCAAGCTGAGGAGCAACTGTAAGGAGTTTGCCTTGTCTTCTGGAGACACAACTTCAGGAACATTCATCAGGTCTATTTCCTCCTGAATTTCATCATAGCCATCAAAAGTAAACACGACCTTATCAGGGAAGCGCAGGATGTAATCAAACACTTCATTATCTGGATCATGATCTGGGTAACAATTGTATTTGAATAAAAGGTCTCTGAGGGATATCTGTTCTGCTTCCTTGAAGATGCTGAACATCCTACAGCGAAACTTGAAAAAGAAGATGGCGTCTGTCTGCAGCTCCCTTTTGGACCAGAGGTTCTGGAGCTTTTGCAGAAGGATGGACTTTCCAACACCAGCATCCCCCATCACATAGATGATCTCACCTTGGGGATTAAAGACCCCGTCTTCTCCAAGAAGCTGGTTCAGACTCTGTATGAAGCCTAAGCTTTCATTAGCGTCGTTGAACAGCTCCATCACAGTGTCTGTGTAAAGATCTTCCAATCGGGTCTCATCTTGCTGCCCATAAGACATGATGAAGCTGGTGTCTCGGCTCATCTCATGTCGCTGCTTCTCACAGTACCTGCTGACTTAAGGGACAAGCACATTCACTAAGTCTCTGTTGGCTGATAAAAAATTACATTTTTTCCAGGATTAGAGGACTAATGTCTCAGCAAGATCTAGAGAAACTCATCCATGCGTTTATCTTTACATTGCTGCAACGTTGTCTTTACAGGTCTGCCTAAGAAAATCAAACCTCCAGCTGCAGCTGATCCAGAACGCTGCTGCTGGTGTTCTGACTAAAACTAAGAAGATAGAGCAGATCACCCCGTTCTAAAGTCCTTCTATAGCAAAGGAGTATTTACTCAATATTTTTGGCAAAATTTGAGCACATCAAGTTTCTCAAATACTGCCTGTTCACATTATACAAAGAAATGTCCAGTAAACAACTAATGTCTTAAACCAGGAAATGTTGAAAAATTTACTCAGTAGAGATAGTCCCTTTTACTAACTATGTTAATATTGGTCATAGTGCTAATATCTATATCAGTTAGAACACATACAGGCATCTCAGGGATACAGCTTGGAATTCAGAATGAGTCTATGCTATTAATGTGATCCTCTGCTTTATAAACCTGATAGCCACTGTTGTATCAATACGTCAGATTGGATTATTTTGAATTATATCATTATGCTTAATAAGCAACAAGACTGAACTGTTCTGAAGCAGTGTGACCTTAATGTGGGTGGACAGAACAGTAGAAACACGCCTTAGTCATAGCACATAGTTCGCATTGATTCATTTGTGTTTGTACCACTTACTAGGGTCGGTGTTCACCACTTTCATCTCTTCCATGTCTCTGCTTGGCTTGTAGTTGATCTCTTTTAGCCATGGCTGCAGGTCTATATATGCATCACATATTTTATATATGATAAAAACAAAGAATTCACAGGCATCCTCTCCTTTGCACTGAACCAGCTCCAGGATTTTGCGCACCTGGAAAATAAAAATGTTAACACGGAAACTTTAAGATGTTATTTGGTGTATTTATAGATGAGTGGAATGGAAGAAGTCCCAGCCAAGACGCCCCAACCTGGTTTGGTTTGGTGACGGTTCGTTGAACGATCTCCACGTCTTCCTCGCAGAAGAAGCGGTTGGCCAGCAGGTTATCCAGGAGGCACTGAATGCTCCTGAGCGTGGACACCAGCAGCTCTCTGTGGCACGTGAGGAGGTCAAGGCACGACACTCTGGCTTCCTCTACCTGACCCATTGTTTACGGTCAGTCGCCCTCTGTGGAACAGCAACAGACCAGATTTTGGCCAGTAGCATAACAAAACTGAGTTTGTATAACAAATAAACTGATCAAAAGCTGAATGCTACCAGGTGTCAAAAGAGTAGTGAACTACTTTTTATCTTTTAATAATATTTTAATTAGGCCACACCAAACCCTTCATTTAGCTTTTGTCTATGTGGGTTTCTATTAAGTTTGCTTTTGATCATTGATCTGCTGCACAGTCTTGGTGAATTTGAGTTTAAAGTTATAAACTAGTAATCAGATATTTTCCATCAGGATTTTATGACATGGTTCTGTCACTCTAGAGACACTAGAGGGCGTTGTAACACCGCTAGTTCACAGAATTGCAGGTTCTGAGAAGTTCTGACCCAGTCGTCATCAAAAGTATTAAACTTGTTCAGATTCTTATCTTTGCCAATTTTTCCTGCCTTTACCACATCAATTTTGGCAATACAATGTTGACCTATATTGCTGTTGTGTGGTTATAAAAGCAACAACAACAACAACAACAACAACAAAGAAGAAAGTAAAAAACACAACACGTTAAGCCTGAAATCATCTCATGTGGACTAACATCTACGCTAAAATAATGATTCTTATCCCAAAATGCCAAAAATAGAATAAAAACATAGAATAAAAACATAATGAGTTTGACCCAATCACTACGACTGTAAACAGAGATACAGACCCTGAAGCGATCACCGCTGCTTAGCCTCCTAGTCCGGACCGGTTTTTGCTCCGAAAACAGCCGAACTTATTGAAGTTCAGTCTCATTTCACTGTGCAGTGATTCTGAACACTACGTTATTTCAGAGAAATTGCCATGTTAAAATGAAAGCAAGAGGGGCGGTTTCTCCAACAGCACCCGGCTGAGGAAGTGAAACGGTTCAGGAAATCTGCGTCATTCTCTTCAGGATCTCAAACAGCCATGAGGTGTTCAGGAACACTGACATGTGACACAGGTAACACATGTGAAGCGTCAAACTGCTCAAAACAAAACTGGTAAAACGTTTTATTTAGCTCTGTCTTGTTGTTAGGGCCACGCCTTTTTTAAACGACAAGGTTTTGGTTATATAAAACTGACACCTGGAACACTGCAGAAACACGTCATAACTTGAACCATTTCAGATGTAATAAAATCTAGATAAATTACATTTGATCAGTCAGTAACTCAGTGTACCATGTAGATCAGATGAGCACTGATCTTTATGCCATAAGATCTAACGACCAAATAAATGTCACAATACTCAATGAAATAGTTTCTCCATCTGTGAAATGATAAATATCCAAATCTAAGCTGACAGGCAGCAGTAATAGCAGTACAGTCCTATTTATGTATTATTATACAATATTGGCTGCACTTATTACATTTTTGTTGTGTTACAGTCACTTTCATAATTGCCAATTGGCATAGCAAGTAATTGTTATTTACTTATAAGCTCTAAAATGTTCTTACATAATTAGGACATTGTCTTATTTAAATTTAATAAGGCTACAGTTTGGATGTCAACAGCACGTAGAAGTTTTTGGCCCCCAGTCTTGAGTAGGGCTGCAACAGTGGCACAATTGGTAGATCTGTTGCCTTGCAGCAAGAAGGAACCTGGGTTCAGTTCCCAGCCCGGGGTCTTTCTGCATGGAGTTTGCATGATCTCGCTGTGCATGTGTGTGGGTTCTCTCAGGGTTCTCCGGCTTCCTCCCACAGTCCAAAAACATGACTGTCAGGTTAAATGGCCTCTCCAAATTCTCCCTATGTGTGTGCATGGTTGTTTGTCCTGTCTGTGTCTTTGTTGCCCTGCGACAGACTGGCGACCTGTCCAGGGTGACCCCGCCTCTCGCCCAGAACATTAGTTGGAGAAAGGCACCAGCAAAACCTCCCGACCCCACTGGGGACAAGGGTGCACAGAAAATGGATGGATAGTCTAATGAAAAACAACCTAAAATCTTATAGGGAGAAACATCAGAAATCTGGTTATGTAAATATGCATACCCTGCTTTTTACCAAACCACCTTCTTAATTACTGTAAATTTAGCAGCCAGTTGCTTTTGGTAGGAGTCTATCAACATGCTACATCCTAACTTGCTAATATGGTTCCACTCTGTTTTGTAAACGTTCTCCACATCTGTCCGATTGGGAGGATATCTGTTATTCATATCCTGCTGGTCATTATCCAGACTGGA